GGCGCTCCCAGGCAGGGAAAGTCCTCGACTTACGATAGGTTTAGTCCTCGACTTATGACCAGTTTAGTCCTCGACTTACGACCGGTTCGGGTCGTGGCATTAAAAAGGTTGAGAACCACTGGTATAGGGTTTCCTTCCTGAGCAGGGGGTTGGACTAGATGACCTCCAAGGTCCCTTCCAACTCTGTTATTATTTCAAGGCATCCTTGTCAAGGGCTCAGCGTGCTTGTGAGACAGCCATAGATCTTCTCAGGGAAGTGAAGGAAACTATAGTTGTGAGAATATAAAGTCCCCGTTGGAGCGTTTAAATCAGTGTTTCTCAACCGTGGCCACTTTCAGATGTGGGAGATTTTAACTCCCAGAATTCCCCAGCCGGCACAGAAAATTGCAGGTCCGGCTGGGAAATTCTGCGAATTGGAAGTCCACATGTCTTAAAAGTTGCCCCAGATTTGAGAAACGCTGTAATAGTAGTAGTAGTAGTAGTAGTAGTAGTAGTAGTAGTAGTAGTAGTAGTAGTAGTAGTAATAGTTGGAAGGGATCTTGGAGGTCATCAAGTCCAGCCCCCTGCTCAGGCAGGAAAGCCTATACCCTTTCAGACAAATGGCTGTCCAGTCTCTTCTTAAAAACTTCCAGTGTTGAAGCATTCACCGCTTCTGGAGGCAGGTTGTTCCACTGGTTAATTTTCCTAGCTGTCAGGAAGTTTCTCCTTAGTTCTAGGTTTATTTATTTATTTATTTATTTGATTTGTATCCCGCCCTTCTCCTTACCGGACTCAGGGCGGCTGACAGCCTTATAAAACCAATATTACAATAAATACCAATTTAAAACCCGATTAAAAGGAAATATTTGCAATGGCCTAATAATTAAAATTTCCCTTAAAACCCCCACTAAAATTCCCTAGGCCAATCCCGCTTTTTGGAAAAGCCATGTCTTTAGGGCGCGGCGGAAGGAGGGGAGATCCGGGATCACCCGGATCTCTGGGGGTAGTTCGTTCCAGAGGGTGGGGGCTCCCACCGAGAAGGCCCTCCCCCTGGGGGTCACCAGCCGGCACTGTCTGGCTGACGGCACCCTGAGGAGACCCACTCTGTGGGAGCGTACCGGCCGATGGGAGGTAATCTGCGGCAGAAGGCGGTCTCGG